TTTATTTATTTTTTTGAAGAAAATATATTTTAATCAATATAATATACATATATACAATGAATAAAATAATCAAAATTTAATCATCAAATCAAACCATTAATGGCATTCCAATCAAGCATTAATTACTCTTACAAAGGTTACTCAAGAATAATTTTGACTTTCCACAACAAAAAAGTGATATATTTGAACAAATTTAGTGAACATCCAAATTTTTTACGTATTTTCAAATTTAGAGACATTTATGAAAATCTCTCATGTTTTCAATAAAATTTTAGCTTTTCTCACAATACAAGACAAAGTCACATCAAAACGAAATGTTAATTTTCCATCATGTTAAAAACCCTCATAGTAAAATAAGGAATGTGTAAATATATAAAAGTATATACGACCTGTTAATAGGGTAAAAATATAAAAGTATTGCATGCAGACATCTTGGAGAATTTCTGCGAGATGCTTTTAGTTCTAAATCCAGTACAAGGCTCAAGTAAGAAAAAAGGAGGATTAGGCCAGATTCTTGTTCGAATTCAGCTATCTACAATCATAAGTTACAGTTTGCTGATAAGATACCTATACATTTGGTGTCAGTAGAAAGGCAATCAGATTCCAGCTATTGTCGCCGCCCCAGAAAACATGTGCAAATCGCAGTCTACTTTCTGGTTAATCCAGAGCAGTCTTCATGAGATAGGGAAGTCCTTGTGTCATTTATAATCTTGAACGACGAATGCATTTAATAGGATTTAACGGTGAATGCCTTCGTGTAGATGCAAATGGTACCCTGCTCAAGGATGGTGATGATTTTAGATCCCAATCTTCCACATTCTTGGGTACACAAACGTCGAAGAGGAATTGACCAAGAACCCCATGAGCACTTATGCTTGGCGGGCTGGATAGACGCATGTACGGCTCTTTACGTTCATCCTGCGCAGATCCAAAATCTCTACCCTCGTGACATTCTATGGAACTTGGAACAGAAAAGTGGTCATTCAAGTCAAGGGCAATCCTCTGAAAACTCTGACTTGATCTCTCTGCAGCTTTTTTCAGATTGCAAAATGGTTCAGATATCTGATCATGCGTGCCCTCGAGGCCCATCTTCTCACCTTCAAGTTGCCGTATTCTTTTAGAATAAATTACAGAAGCTTTTCCAAGCAGCTCAGTCACCACAGCCTTGTATTCGATTGGATAATGCCGAAAATGACCTGCGCTACAAACATAACATGAAAAACTACTGGATCAACAAATATGAATTCTCAAGATGTCATAACAAAAATGCTACACTCCAATGGTAGCTAGGAAAGCCTCCTAAGAAAATCTTATATTCCAGATTCCAAATTACTAGTGATTTACTTAAACAGAATTATATTCCAGTAAGTAACTGAGAAATCAATTTAGTCAACAAACTGCAGCGAATCATCTGATTGCATACAACAAAGAAGGAAGGTTCAAAAACACAACCATATACTATGTCCATGTATTCTCAGATATGGAGCTTTAATTTATATCCCAAATAGCCAGGTTGAGAAGTAGATGCACGAGCAAGTGTAATAGTGAGAGCAGTAAAGTGCAGAACATGACTGAGAATTCAAGGCAATAGAGTGTCTCTAGGGCTAATTTGTAGCATTACAAAACATTAATTAGATAAGTCATAGACATCATACTCCATCAAAACTCATATTTTATGAATTAAAACAATATCATTTCTAATAATTTATTCATATTACATAAAAAGAAAAAGGTGTAAAATCTGTGTAAGAGCTCTCCAATCGTGGTGTAATCTCAGATATGGAAGTCTTCTTTCGTTTCTCGACGTTTAAGTAAGACCAAGCTCATGAGCTTATTATACTAGGTCGCACCCGCAAAAGGAAAACCCTTATTAAATTAAAGGAAACCTAAGCCTTTCTTTTTTTTACTAAAATGAAAGCCAATAGTGCCTTTTCCTCACAAATTACACATCCTTCTTTGGTCAATGAAATAAATCTAAATTGTGATTTAAATCTCCAAAGTGACCAGAAATTTCTCAATGCGAAGGAAACGCAAATTGCATTTTCCGACAGAAAATATAAAAAAAGATATAAATTTGCATCTTTTTTTATGAAGCAAAAAGTGCTTTTAAAACTTTCCATTAGAGCAAATTTTGAATTTATATCTACTGGGATGTAAATGAGGATGCAAAATTGGTTTTGGAGATACCAAGTTACACCCAAATTTATACCACCACTGAAGATGATCTAAGCTATTCATTGAGCAGGAGAAATGTCAAATATAATAGTCTGCCATATCCACAGATGTTATTTCTTGAACCAGCAGTTCCTGCTTTCATTTGACAACCCTATAACCTGAGACAGGTTATGGCAAATGCAAATTTGAAATGCGAATCCGACTTCATTCATTGTTGCTCAGGCAAAAATTGCACACAGGCATACTGGAGTTTGTAAGGTGCTGAAAAATTGTAAATTGGAAACCTCATGCTAAATTGCACGCCCTGAATACATATGTCCCTACGGAGTGAATTTTGTGTCCTTAGGTCAGACCTTTCTCCAAGCCACTGCAATACTGCTTTCAGTGGCTAGTAATGCTCGTTTTAAACTACCACAACTTTGTTTGCTCTTATTAGCACTTATTCCAGTCATTTGCACAGAAATATAGTCTAAACATCTCTTCAAATTTTATCTGCATTGAGCCTTACCCAAGAAAATCTAACTGTACAATACGTTTAGAAGCATACCTACGTGAGATGAGTTATTCCATTTTACCAGTTTAACTTCAGCCCCGAGGTCTTTAAGCCGTCCGGCAAAATTGCAGATTATCTGACACGGAGCGAGATCATCATCTTCTGAGCACAAAATCAGGTATGGTGCCCCCATGCTCTGCATAAAGATAATAATTAATCACTGAATAAGCAGTAGAAAGCAACTTGCCATGGCATTCCATGTTTGGCTAATCTAAAGAAATAGTTGCTTTCTCCAATCATGTTTGCATAACTTACTTTAAGCGAAAAAGAAGCCACTTCTATTTTAATTAACTCTCAACTTATTGCCAAATGGGGAACTTTTTCCAACTTTTACCATTAAAATTTATTTATTTTAAAACTTTTGAATTTACTTATAAGTGAACTTTATATGATTAGCAAAACATGCTGTAAATCTAATGGATGCTTACTACAGAGGAGTAAAGAGTCTGCCAATACTCGGCACGCTGCGCTTCAAATCTGCTAAGGAAGAAGGCATCCAGACTGGACGAAATGCCATTTGCAATCCATGAAGCTAGGAGCGGGGGAGAGGACATATTGAGAACAGAAGGATGAAGAATAAAGCGAGTGCCCAAGTCACTTGTAAAATCCACTGGAGTAGAATCAAAAATGTGGCCGGAAACACAGTCTCTAACCAGTCGGTAGTCGTCCTTCAGATGAAACACGCCACATTAGATAAGCCAACACTTGTATTAAGGTTCTTCATCGAACAATATAGCAGATAACCATTACTATATACGATGAGTTAATGACTATGGTATTCGATTTTTGCATGTTTATTATGGAGAACTGGATAGAGCTCTAGATTCTATTGTCTGATCATGTCCAATATTGCGTACGGGTACTGAGCTTAGGCTATTAAGCATGACAGATGTTTTGACCAACATCAATAAGGAGAAACACATGCATAAGTGATCAACAGAATGACAAGAGTACATGGAAAGCTACAGAAGCATATGTTACATTTACAAGAAATGGAAGTATGTGTTCACAATTATTTCAAATAACAAGCTGTCGAGATGAATCACTATGAGATAAAGTATACCGTATTGACTTGCTCTGGACACTTTCCTTCAATTATCTGCAACCAAAAGTAAAACAGGTTGCATGTCAATTGTCAACTATAGCTTTACATAAAACATGCAATATCCAGGGTCTTAAATGATGTATGTGAATAAATATAAAAAATTTACAAATATTTTAAGTTCCAGGTGTTGACTGACAAGAATAGCATTTACCTGGAGAACCTTGTACATGCTAGCCTTTGGGCCACCAGAGAAAGACGCAAAGACAACTGGGCATGGCCTGATTTTTAGCTCCTTTAAATCAAATTGAAGTTAATTATGAGGACAACTTAAAACAACATATATAGCAAATTTAAAATTTTAATGTCTGTCTATCATAGTATCATCATTGTCAAATCCCCATCCACAAGATTACTTTGAATAGTTTCCAACAAAGATAGGACTCCAATAGCAAGTCCACCCATATATAATATATTAGGCCCATGTTCACATTTTAATTTAAGTCAGAGTCAATAATTAATTTTAACCACATATTTCATTAATTTTTATCAAAATTTACAAAAAATCTAATTTTAATCCCGTCAAACAAGGACTAAATAGCAAATGAACCTCTCAACTATGCATGCTTTATGGTATGGGAGGGCATTTTGACCAGAGTCATACGTTCAGGTCCAGTTCCAGAAAAAAATTAGGAACCAAAATCATGAATCGAAAATCAATCAGATCTCGTATGGTTTTTAGTTCTTGAATCGGAACATTAGGTACTTGATTCTTCAATCGAATTCATCCATTTTTGTAATTTCTTTATTTTCTACATTTTTTTCAAATTCACCCGGTGGCCGGTGGGAAGCAAATGAAACGATGGGATGGAAAAAAGTCAACAATGTTGATTATCCTATTATTTTCAAATGAATGAATTTATATTATTTTCAGTATTTGTAGATTCTATTAATTCCTTATTGTTGGTTTCTAATTTTTGGTTTCTTCTTTGGGTATGTGATTTGATGTTTATGCTCTGTTACATATTGGATGCTATTTGGTAGTATACATCATTGCAGTGGATTAAGAAATTGTAGAAATAGGTATTTTGTGCCATATTTTATTTCTTCTATTTCTGCTAGATATTGAAAAGATAATTTGTATTGTCAAATCACTATTCTTAAAAAATATTATATGTCAAATCATATCCAAACCCAAATAAGAGATTTGGGTTTGGGTTTGGGTTTGAGTTCGATTCTTGTAATTAAGTGGACCCAAATGGTTTTATTTACAAAATATCCAAAATATAATGGATGGTTCCAAGTATTTAAATACCCAAACCAACCTAGCCGACGTCCGGACCTACTTTAGGGTTTTGATTGTTGGGTTGTTAAAGGTTGAGATGAGGATAAGATAAATGCAAAAACGATGCAAAGTTTGGTGTGTAATTATACTAAACTGGATCTTATAAGAAATGAGAATATATAGTAGCAAGTGACGATGATGTCGATTGATGATAAATTGAAGGAAGCAGGAATTAGGTTGATGGGTCAAGTTTTGAGTCGACTTAAAAAGGCTCTGTTCATAAGAATGACATGATTTTTGTGGATCAAATTAGTAGAGAAAGGGGTAAACCAAAATTAAGATGGTCAGTTGTATTGTAAAAGGAGTAATTGCTTTAGATCTCCCAATAGATCTAACAATGAATAACCAACCCTAAATTCATCAAGGGACAAGGCTTAGTTCGTTGTTGTGTTCCCTTGTTTGTAGGAAGACCATTTACTGTCAAATTTACAATAGTTCTACATTTCCAAACATGGAAAGCATTAAAACCTCAAATAAGTTCAGCAGGTTGTTTTGACACATAGCTACTCAAATACAGATAGTGAAAATTGTGAATACAGATAAAGATGCACCTTTAAAAAAAATTTATACAGACTTCAACTGAATTTTATATGACTGACCTGGACAAGATCGTTTAAAATTTCTAGTGCCAATGATGCAGCTTTGTTAGGAAAGAATCTGCAACAAAACAAAAATTAGAATTGTAAATTGAAGATTTGAAAAAGCAAGAAGAAAGCTAAAGGATAGAGTATGCTTATGTAAATTATTTATCATTTTGCATGCACCAAGTTCGAGTACTACCAGTCTAAATAGCATTTAAGACTAAGATATTCAACTATCCCTACCTGAGAAATAAATATAGATTTTCCTGAAGAGCCACTAACGACTAAATTTTCCACTACTAATAAGACTATGATTAATTACATATTCGTCATCATGAAACATCTTCATGCACAATTTCTTGAAGTCTTGCTGAAGTGAGCTCTTTTACACAGAAGGTATTTTGTGTTCAAAAATGAGAACCAACATAGAAGGTATTTCGTGTTCGAAAATGAGATCCATATATAAGAACAATGCCTGTGATGGCCCATTGATTGGGTCGAACCTAAGACTTGGATTATCAATGCCTAAAGTGCATCACAAATTTGAGTTCTTAATGAGTTTGCTGTCTATAACCGTTGGTTGTTCGAAAATGAGATCCATATATAAGAACATTGCCTGAGATGGCCCATTGAGTGGGTCAAACCTAAGACTTGGATTATCAATGCCTCAAGCGCATCACAAATTTGAGTTCTTAATGAGTTTGCTGTCTATAACCGTTGGTTGTTCACGTCTTTATGATTGCTGAGGACTTGTCATTTGGGCCTATGGTTTCTCAAATTCTATAAACTAAGAGAAAAGTTTAATTTTAAAGAAACTACATTCTTCAAATTCGATTTTCCTCCAGTAAAATGTACTCTAAAATATGCTAAACTTCCCAAATATCCATTCATATCTATCAAACTATTTTTCTTTCCTCTGGATACAAAAAGAAATATTAGAACACTGTCCAAGAACGGTAGACAACACACTCTGGCCAAGTTACATTAAGTTATCTTCCAGACAAATAAAAAATCACTTCACAGCTTACGCAACTGTTTACTCAATTCCTCTAAAGAAGTAGGACAATCTATTCTCCCATCCCTGTGACAAGGTACCAAGATGGTTAGGACAGCATTAAGCATGACAAAAGTTGCATGATGATAGCAAACGTTCTGATTCCTAGCATTTAAACCTGCACTTGTTAAGGAAAAGTTATAACCTACCACTATTTTTCCTCTAGTTAAGTATTTGAGTTTCGTTCTATAAACAGCAACACTATAGATAACATTATTACTGCAAACAGCCATTTCACCAGTTGCGCTATTCCTCTTCCCTCCAGATTCCAAGTAACAGACTCACTGAAAACAATTCATCAAATGTCACAATTGAACTACTATATAATATCAAGCACGAATTTAAAACCCTGACACCTGAGTATCCTGCATATAAACGTAATCTCATATTACTACCTCAACCCACAAAAAGAACATCACATCTACATGTTTTATCCATTCCTTGGACCTCAGCCAGCATTTTGCATTTTTTCAATCAAGAGTTTCATTCAAAGTAATGATTCCTCCAAAAAAATATGATAGACAAAATTCCATCAACTCCAATCACCTCATCCAATACTCAGTTCAAAGTCATAAACTCCAATCACCTTATCAAACACCTTATCCAACACTAGCATTTTGCATTTTTTCAATCAAGAGTTTCATTCTAAGTAATGATTCCTCCAAAAAAATATGATAGACAAAATTCCTTCAACTCCAATCACCTTATCCATCACTCAGTTCAAAGTCATAATTTAAATTAAAGTTAAAGAATATTCACTAAATCCCATGTATATCCACTCCAGCAGAAAAATATCCCAAAATTACAATAGTGTTTCAACAATCATTCTACTAATTTAAACCTCCCAACAAAAATCGAAGAAAAAAAAATCATATTCTGCAACATAATCAAGAAACTCGGAAAAAGAAGATGACACAATCAAGAAACCATAGGTCCAAAAAATAAAAATAAAAGTTACAAATTCACAAACTAACAAAATATTCAAAGATTCAGATCAGAATCGGATTCCAAATCGTGAAATTATAAAAAAAGAGGTGTATCTGAGCTTACAGATTGAGGAATTGGGAGTGGCAAATGACGGAATTCCAACCAAGAGAGGAATAAAGATCAACATAGTTCTTCAAGTGCTTATCCTCACTTGACATCCATGAAAATACTACAACTATGCCTTCCACTTTCCCTCTTTCTTTTCTCCCCCAATAGTACCTCCCTCCAAACCCCCACATCTTTTCAATTTCCTCGAGAAAAAAACAATTCCCTGAGAAGTAAACTTTATTTGACAATAAAAAAACAAATCTCTTTGAACAGAAAGGTATTTAGCTTTCTTCAACAACTCATCTGAAATTCTAATTGAGGTGTGCCCTTTTCTGATTGTTGTGGCCTTTCTTGAAATTAATAAAGAATGGAAATTTGTTTTCCGAGAACTTATGTGAAAGTTTCATAATTTGCACTGTGTCAACTTGCCATTATTTAAGGATTCGTTTGGCATATCTGTAACGAGTAAAACCTTCATGACCCCTTTGTTATTTTTGTGGCATTTTTTATTGGAGATATTCTTTCAATTGGAGATCTTGTTACGAGGGATATTTTTTTTGAATTCCAAGATAGTCTAGACCCATATATTCTTTAAATATGAGATCACTTTATTAGGAATGTTCTTTAAATCTCTTGGTACTTTCGATTAAAGATATTCTTTCACTCTTCAAAAGATTCGTCCATACAAGTTAAATGATGTTAGTTGTGTGTTGGTAGGAGATGTGACTCTCACTTCGCCCGAGTATTGGTGTGACCTTCTGTAGCGCGGTCTTTTGAGATTCACAGCATTTACTTTGGTTACGCGATAGTTGTGCTACCCTCGAGGAGGCCTTGGGGCCCTCTTACTTGGCATCGGAATCTTCCCTCTATTCATCTGGTCATGCCTTTGCTACGAGTTCACAGGCCTTATTGTTTCCTGATAGTGGATCTCCTCTTAGATCAAATTTACTAATTCATCGTATGTTTTGGGTGCTTGATTGCGAACATCTCTTCAGAATGGGGTAGTTAAGTCCAAATCAAACCTCAAAGCCTGAAAAGTAGTATCTTATGAGTGCTTTCTACATCAAAATGAAATGATTGAGATAGCTTAGCAAGGGTTCATCAAGATGTTGTTCGTGTGAAATCCGCAAATGTATAAGATCATTGACAAGTAATATGTGATGAGTAACTTGTATCGTCTTACAAGGAATAAAATCTAATCAAGTGTACTAGTTTCTAATCGTATTCAAAGTAAGCGAACAAAGATATTTTTGGTTTGTAATTATTCTAAATTAATCTACATAAACATGTAAAATTCGAATTTTATATGTATATGAAATAAGTGTATTGGATTACTAATGTACCTATTATTATCTATTTCAATTCTCAATTACGTAACTAGTATCATTCATACATTACTGACAATCAATAATTTTATTGTAATTAACTCTCTTTTTCAAGACAAATTAAATATATTCTTATTACGACTCGAGTTTATTCCAAATCCGAATTCAAATGAGTAGAACGCATTCAATTTCATAATTATCTCAAAATTATACATGTGATAAACATTATTCCTAATATTTATTGCATGTATGTTAATCAAGCAATGTTCTAGACATTGTGAGCCTCAGCACTACAACATGCAATTATATATTTAATTGGTGATCAAACAATCAAATAATAAAATTATGTATGCAAGATTAATAAAAAAAGTAAGAATTTAACTATCTACTTGTCTTAAATTAAAAATAAATAATAAAAGATTTCATCTTCATCCAATACATGAAAATAATTAACCTAGCATGTTGTTTTGTAAATTACATAAAAAGATTTGGAAAAAGGTCACCCGGAAAGGAAAACAATGAATGGAAAGCGAAAAATCAATTTGTTTTTCGTTAATCTTCAACCTGGACTTTGAATCTTCAATTTCTTATGTCAATTGCTTTTGAGCCTCATTCTTGTGGTAAAAATAGTGTTTTGATATGTGTTCTCTCTTTTCTAGTCGCCCCTTGTAGGTTAAATAGTAGGTTAAAAAGCCCAAAAATGGCCACCGCGCGCGCCACTTGTTCCACTGTGCGCGCACCGCCCATTCAGTTTGCTCTCGATAAATGGACACTAGGGCAATGCACGCACGAGCACACCTATAGTAAAGTTCTATTTATTACAATTTGGTCTCTGAATTTCATTTTTTAGTCATTTTGGTCTCTTTTTCGTATATTCTTGATCTTCCATCTTTCAAATCTATCTAATTGACTCCAACCTCTCTCCAATCATTGATATCGGTCCGAATCAACTATTAGCACTTTGCGATTTAATCTCCAAACTATGGATTAATTCTACTTTAGCCAATTTTCTTCTTCTTTTGTCCAATTCCATTGTTTTTCATCGATTTGCACCTAACAAATGAAATATGTATAAAATTAAGCCCCAATTCATCCATAATATCAATAATTGCTCTAGTTAGTTAAATGAGATAAGTTTATAAAATACACTTATCAGATGTTGCTTAACATCATGGATCCTCCTATTGGGGTCAGATGTTTTGGTGGTGAACATATGGATGAATTGGTTTTTAGGTCAGGACAACTATTGATGCTACCTAGTGAAAGCTTATTATAACATTTTCTAGCTCCTATTGAGAGCGTAACATGGAAGCCTTGCCTAAACACGTAGCCCGAACGGTTATTTAAGTCATGTGAGTGTTATAATCCCAAACATGGTTGACCGGATTACCCTTTCCACAAATTTTCTGCATGGCAAATTTTGTTGAGGCTTCCTAATGCTTTGATTACCTCGGCAAAGGGGATACTTCTTGTTGTCGCTTATCTCCTCTGGCTAGGCCTGTTCCCCAGTCCTTTTTTCGAGAGCCATGGAGAAGTCTAGTCCTTCCATTTGATGGATTGACTGGGTTCTTCTCGCCTAACTATTTCACCACATCCCCGTGGGACCTCGTCCTAGATGACGTTGATGCTTCCTAGCCTAAAGACACTAGCAAACTTTGATGATTTTTTCTCTTGCTCATGATAAGATGCTTGATTTTCCACAAGTGGTGAGTTCATTGCTTGGTCGGAGAAATTTCATGTGTATTCTTTATGCGTAGAGCCCTCTACTTTGCTCTCGCCTCCATCCTCTTGGAGAGGCAGAATACCTATCCTTGAAGCATCAAGAGCTGCCTTACAACAACGTTTTCGTCATCAAAATGTTGAATGTTGGCAGCTATGTGACTATAGGTCGAGTTAGCCTAGCGAAGGTTCTATATGGATTTGGATTTCATCTTCTCTGAGTATTTCTTGCTGAAATAACACGACTTTCATTCTGGCTCTCCTCATCTAGTTATTATCAATGTTTGATCCGCTTTCGCTCATTTTTCTTGACTTTTCTTGTACCTCGCGTGTTCTCTTATCGAGATGGGCATTCTTACATCTTTGTCTAGAACTACTTCTCTTAGTGGGCCATAACTTCTAAGTGGGCCAAAGTTATAGCATTGAAGGAAGTAAAATATAAAATCTTGTGGATTTCATTCGCATTAAAATAATTACCGATGAAGAGTTCCTTTGTTCATCATGACTGATCTTGGAAAACTCTTTTACAATAGCCACATAAATAATCTTTGTGCCAAGTTTGAATTTAAACAATATAACCCATCCATGAACAACAAACTACCGGATCGACATTGGTGTTCAACAAGATCCTATGGAATTTGTTGAAAAAGATTAATTTTTATTTTCAAATTCAAAAGGAACTGGCGTGAAAGAATTTGAAAGTCTTATGGGCTTATCGCACTACTTACTAGACTCCAATACAAGCTATTCCTTGTGTCCTGGTGAATGGAGTGGAAGTTGTACTTCCTTATAGTGTAAGATTCCATAATTGTATGTGCCGTCCAAGAAGGTTTGACGATGAATAAGAATGTATATATTCAACTTGAGGAGTTTGTAGCTTTGATTGAAAAGAGATTAGAGGCATAAATGCCTCAAGATTGTTATCAAACTCAGAGGGCAAAGTGTTTCAACAAAAATGTGTAGTTAAGATCATTATAAGTTGGAGATTTTTCTTCAAACTTAAATGTGAACATTTAATAACCATCTTCACAGTCTTCCTTTTTGCTTCTTGTGCATAATATGGTGAGGCAATTCCATTAATGTCCCCAATTCCATTACACATCAATTTACAAAATGAAAAATAAAATACAAATCAACCAAACTCTAAAAAAATATTTTTCTTCTTCTTTTTACGTGCA